CTCACTACGCCAGATCACTAATTTTACCGCTGAGTTCAGAAAATTGAAACTGTAGAGAGATATCACCGATACAGGGGAGGTCAGAAAGATTTGAAGAGATAATGATTCAATTCATGGGTGCTGTCCCCTCATTTTGCATATTTTTGCATATTTTTGCCATGATTTTTGAAGTCTCCCCAAACCAAAATGCTCACAGGGGATATTATGTCAGAAACTCAAATTTGGTCCAAAACTAGCAATATTTGGGCAAAAACCTCCAAGCACAAAAATATGAGTATTTTTGTTCAATCATCTGAACACTTGCAATTTATGGAAGCCGCATGATGTCTCTACAAGGTTTATTAAGGTGCTGAAGCCATTGTAGTTATGACTTCTATGCTTATATATGGTTTCTGCTGTGTACGTCTCTTGATATATCTCACCCATTATTGGAGACACACAGCTTTTTTGTGCACACAAACTGTAGATCCAGAATGTGGAATTCAGAATGTCAAGACATTACATGTGTTGGAGAAAAATTGATGATTTTGTTGGTGTTGCAAGGTCACTGTCTCTCTACCTGCCAGTTTTGGACCAAAATTGGGTTTCTGACATTATTTGCATTGTGGTTGTAAAAATATGAAAAAATATGCCAGATGATTGGAATGCACCAAAGGGCCCAACCAATATTTTTTCATATTTTTCTGACCCCTCCCAGATTTTCCATAATTTTCTATGTCTTCTCAATTTTCTAAACTCAGCGGTAAATTTTCAATTTGGCGTAGTGTCTGAACCTGTAGGTAAACGAAGGCAAGTACCCAATCTTGAGCTGCCTGGCACGCGATTTTCTGGCTATCAGTGGCACGTCCTGCGCGGTTGAGAGATGTTTCTCATGTGCCGCGGACATCTGCACCCGAGATCGAAGTTCCCTCAAGCCCAGGCCAATTGAAAGGTTGGTTTCTGGTCGCATGTGGTCAGTCGAGGGAGTGCAGATGAAGGGTAAATTTGTCAAAGCTGGAAACATCATGAATCAATGCATGGCTAACGATGCAGCATCTCGAGTGAGGAGATCCTAAATTATGATGGCTATCACGTTTGGTTTTGTCTCACATGATTTATGGTGGTTTTTCTCGTCAATCATAAACGATGTCTCCTTTTTTTTTCTCCTTTTCTTGTGGCTCTGGTTGAATTTTTTCTGTTCATCTTTAATAATACATGATTGTTCTTATCTGCGAAATAAACTTTTTTGGATTTGTCTCTGAGGCAGGTACTTACACAGGTAAGTTAGAATACGGCGCGGTACCTACTGCAGGTACGGTACAGTACCGTACCTACGCGCTTGTCTAGGATACCAGTATAGTACAGTACCTTGGCCTTGCAAGAAATACTGTACTAGAGCGAGATTTTTGCAGTACCTTGGCGCTAGGTACTGTACTCCGTACCGTATCTAATTTCAGGTACGGTACTGAGTACCACTTTTTTCAGTATTTTAAGAGCAGGTACTGTACTAGTATCGAAGGTACTATACTAGTACAGTAACTGTTGCTGCGTTGCCATTGTGGGTAGCTACAGACAGCACCATGTGAAATTATCAGCACAAGGTCATATGGGCATTAATATTCACAACGATATTCACCTTTAACAGCTTGTGTTCTACTTGGTTTGCCGGGGTTGGCTTAATAAAGACAAGGTTGTCCATCGCCATGATCGTCGGATTGTCTTCAGCACCTTCGATATGAGAGTCAGAGGCAAAAGGATTGCCTGATGCTGTTTGATTCAGTAGCTCTGGGGACGTTATGCCATTGTCCGAAGTGTGATTATCATCAGGATACATGGCATTGTCTTTCTTCCTCATTCCATGAGTGAGCTTCCGGTGAATCAGTGTGTGTAAGAATCTCATTCCTGTCCGTACTTGATTGTTCCTCTGTTCTTCAGAGCTATCACTAAAAAAGTCGGGTGTGATCTTGTTGGGAGCTGACATATG